ACAATAATTGCAATTAACTCCAGTGTCACAGACAATCTACCTGATATACATTTCTGCGGAAATGCCACAGTCTACTGTCAGGTATGCTGCTGAATTTAACCCTGCCATACAGCCCTAACACAAAGAGCCCCAGATCAGCTGGGCTTGAGCACAACAAAGTTGCGGTGAGTGATGAACAGCCCAAGGAGAGAGTTGATGGAGATGCAGATTGCCATGTAAGATGGATGGGACATACGCGGCAGCCTGAATGGGGATTGCATGTAATACCTCTCGCTCTTGTTGGTGGCATGCTCATTACTATGTAGATTCAAATCCAAATTTGCATCTGCACCTTTTCCCCGAGAGCAGTTCTCACTCTAACAAGGAAAGGGCTGGATCTGATTGACAAGAGTCGTGGGCCCATTTGTCAAATAAAATGTACAAATCCTCAGATCAGGGGCCTGGAATTATCAGGCATTCTTGCTAAGCCAAAAGGTTGAGTATGGTCATTTCCAGGTGATTCGTTCGGGGATGAATGACCCTGATTTGTTTGATATAAAGTTTGCGGAGAGATTAGATAACAACAAAGCTTTATTGAGAATAGACAGAATCTTTTTGTTTTGCTTTTCAGATGTGCTGCTGCCCCAATCATGGGTAGCTGCTACTAGCAATCAAGGCAGCCCTTTCCTGTGTATCACAAAATCAAAGTTACAGTGGTACCTTGGTTCTCAAACTTAATCCGTTCCGGAAGTCCTTTCCAAAACCAAAGCGTTCCAAAACCAAGGTGTGCTTTCCCATAGAAAGTCATGCAAAATGGATTAATCCTTTCCAGACTTTTAAAAACAACCCCTAAAACAGCAATTTAACATGAATTTTACTATCTAACGAGACCATTGATCCATAAAATGAAAGCCATAATCAATGTACTGTACTATAAAATAAATAAGACAGTATTGTAGATGATAAAAATAAAAATTAATTCTTATTCTTACCTGCACTGATGATAGTCATTGTTTGGATGGGGGGCTTTTATCCACTTCTACAGTCACATAATCAACCAATCAATCAGTAGCTGAACTGGGTTCCACACAGTCACAAAAACAAATTAATTGAAAAAGCCTCAAAAACAAAAACAAAAAATAAAGAGCAAAAACAAAAGCGCCAAACTTAATCCATTCCAGAAGTCCATTTGAGTTCCGAAATGTTCAAAAATCAAGGCACAGCTTCTGATTGGTGCAGGTGCTCCAGAAACAATAGCCGACAGCCGCATCGGATGTTTGGCTTCTGAAAAACATTTGAAATCCGGAACACTTACTTCCAGGTTTTTGGAGTTTGAGAACAAAAGCATCAAGAACCAAGGTGTTTGAGAACCAAGGTACCACTGTAGTTCTTTAGCCTTTGGACCTGCACAAGCCCCTTTTGAAAAATCTGGGAAATCCTGCAGTGAGGGTGGACATTTATTTAATTCCCCCCCTTTTCAGCCCACCCTCTGCTAGTCTAGACTGGACTGGGACATTGGCCAGGTTGGCTGGGAAGGATGGGAGTTAAGAACATAAGCCAACAAACCCACTGGAGTCCAATGATATCTGGAAGGCTGCAGAGTCCCCCAGTGCCGGCTCTCAGCTTCTGAAAGAGCCTCTGTAAATTTTTAGGCCAGAATGGCATGGGGGGGGGGAGAAAAGGATCATCTGCATCAGTTGACTCTACACATTGGGTTGGAGAGTGCCAATTTACTCATTAGAGCAATTCCAGTGTGTTTTAAGCAGTAGCTGTTTTGTCATAGACGACACTGAAATCAAACAATTGCAGGGAGACAAATCATGTTCCAAAGAGATCTCAAGAGGGGTAAAAATTAAAAGGACAAGTGGGAAGAAATGGAGGTTGAATGTCGGCAGCAGAGAAGCTATACAGATGCCAAGAAACCTCCTCATGAAGCAGAGCCAAGTGAGGAGGCTGCCTGCAGGAATCTGATAAGTGACCTTTCATTTGCTGTCCCCTTCTCTGTTCAGAGGAACAGAACAGGCCCCCTGAGTCTGTGTGTGTTTAGAAGCTTTCTGAAAAGGGATGTCTTTCCTATATGGTTCTCTAGCACAAAGCTAGCTACAGAGGAGGGTTATCTTGGAATATGAACAGAACAGGTTGTTGTTCTGTGGATCCCAGGGATTTCCCCATAAAAAGGAGAAGTGGTATCTCCTACTGCATCAGGCTAGTAGTATGCAAGCTGTGAAGTCATTTGTAGTCCTCACTGGGAAAAACGGGTATGATAGCAATTTCTTTTAAAAAGTTACATAACACATTTGCACAGCCAGTGTGTTGTCGTGGTTAGTGTGTGTTGGCAGGAGGGATCTCTAAAAATTACCATTGATCCATAGCTGTCAGCTTTTTCCTTTTTTTAAGGGAAAATCCTATTCGAAATAAGGGAATTTCCCTTAAAAAACGGGAAACGTTGACAGCTATGCATTGATCCCATTTGCTTCCATAGGGAGGGAAATGAAATACACCAGCTTTCTCCATGCCTCAGGGGGGTGTCAGGGGAATGGGAAGACTATGGATCCTTTAGATCACTGTTTACTGTTGATCCACTCCTATCATGCTTCTTGACAGCAGTGGTAGGGAGGGCACACCAAGATCAGATCTTCCTTTCTCAGACCTTTCACTCTGCCCTTGGAAGGGAAGATCTAAGACATTCTATGGTCACCTGGAATAGCCCCAATATCTTCTTTGTGGCTTCTGTGGGTAATTTCTGGGAGTCCTCTTCAATATAATGAAGTTTCTGTTTGTTTGCTTTTGCAGACCCCAATAAAATCTCAGGATTATTAGACTCTCTGATTACTGCTAGACTTTTAGGTAATTCATGGTGGCTTTGGAAGAATTAGTGTGATGTAAGGTCAAAGAATTTTATTCTAACGGTGAGCCTACTGCTTAATAACCATTGCTTAGGGTCGTGTAATTGTGGAGGCAGCCAGGCTCAAAGCGCTCTTTCATTTTTCTTTTCACTTTAATTAAATTAATGATTTTCCCTCATACACTAAGCAAAGGAAGTGGAACACACACACCACACACACAAACAAGATTTTGATATTGTGGTGCTCAGCACGGAAGGATGAGTGCTGGCAAACCCAATCAGCCATTTGTGTGCCTCTCGTCCAAATGCACTCCAAAATAAAATTTAGCTGAAAAACTAAACAAAGCTAATCATCTATGCAGCAAAATCAAAGTCTTTGCATTTTAATAAGCTTCCAAGCAGTGGGCTCCCTGTAAAATGTAAATTCTATTTTTCTACAGCTTGAACAAGTTTCCACTTACCAAACACTAATGAGAGCTACAATTTCCAAGGGATACAAATTCAGTGGTGATTAAAAGTTTCTGCAGATAAAATATTAAATATTCTGTAGGCGAAGGGTGTGTGTGTTGGTATTACAGTGATCCTGATGTCTGTGTTTTTTAAAAACCCTTCCAAGAACCAATAAAATCTGTGGAATTTCCAGCATCCTGATGCCCACACATAGATGCCAAGCGAAGAAGTGTTAAAGTGGAGCACCAATGCATCATTTTCAGCAGGGACATCATGGCAGAAATTCAAGCTCATGTAGTGCTGTGGGGTTTCAGAGTACAGATGAAAAGTAAAAGACACATACTTCAGCAAGGATAGGCTCCAGCCATATGCTGATCAGTTGCTGAGTGTTTATTAAACTTAGCTCTCAAAAGATGGGTAATAAATGCATAGTTCAATTATGCATGCTAATTTTAGCAGGCAGCCAATTTGAAAAGCAGGCAGATCAAAACAAAATGTGCAAGCATCAGGAGACAGCTGAGAAACAAGGATTGTTACAGCAGGATTTGGGTCTACATCTGAGGCAGTTTAAGTGCTTGGGAGGATCGGGATGCAGAAGCCCATTTGGAAAAAGGCAACTGACCAACCAGATCAACCTAATGAGAGGCAGTGTGGTGTAGCGGTGAGTGTGTCGGAATCCAGCATTGCCTGAGCTCTGCGAGTGCAGCTTTCTCCCGATTGAAATGCAGAGTGTTTGAGGACCAGGAAACCAAAATGCTTGTTTACAAAGCTATTGTACTACCAACCTTACAGTATGCTTGTGAAACATGGACCACTTATAAACACCATCTCCAATTCCTCAAAAGATTCCATCAACGGTGTCTCTGAAAAATTTTACACATCACTTGGAAGACAGGCAGACTAATGCTAGTGTACTGGAAGAAGCAAAGATCACCAGTGTCGAAGCGATGATTCTTCAACATCAACTTCGTTGGACTGGACATGTTGTGCGGATACCTCATTATCGTCTTCCAAAGCAACTACTCTATTCCAAACTTAAAAATGGAAAGTGTCGTGCTGGCGGTCAACAAAAGAGTTTTAAAAACTGTCTCAAGGCAATTTTTTTTAAAAAATGTAGTATAAATACCAACAATTGGGAAACACTGGCCTGCGAGCACTCCAACTGGAGAACAGCCTTTACCAAAGGCTTTGAAGACACTCAAACTCAGGTCGCAAGGGAGAAACATGCTAGGAGGAAGGCACGCTTGGCAAATCCACACCGTGATCAACTCCCACCCGGAAACCAATGTCCCCACTGTGGAAGGACGTGTGGATCCAGAATTGGCCTCCACAGTCACTTACGGACTCATTGTTAAAACCGTGTTTACGGAAGACAATCTTACTTGGCTACGAGGGATCGCCAAAGAAGAAGAAGAAGAAGAAGAAGAAGAAGAAGAAGAAGAAGAAGAAGAAGAAGAAGAAGAAGAAGAAGAAGTGTGTTGGAATAGGACCCAGGTTCAAATTCCCATTTGGCCAGGAAGCTCATTAGATGATCTTGAGTCAGTTACTGCCTCTCAGTCTAGCCTACTTCACAGGGTTGTTGTGAGTGATTAAATGTGGAGGGGGAGAGCCAAGTAGAACTCCCTTGAGCTCCTTGGAGGAAAAAAGCATTAAATAAAATAACTAGGAATTTGTTTATTTATTATCTAACAAGGCAAAAGAGAAAATAAACACAATTACACCTTGATTTTGTTTCTCAGTTTTCTTTTTTATTAGCGGACACAGTGTTAATTCCTCAGAGTAACAAAACAACACAGAATTTGCTATTCTATTTCATGCATTCAGTCCTCGTACCACAACCAGCCAACAAAGTCTATTCCCTTGGTGGCATTGCCCAAGTTGCCTGCTGGTAGACCCAAATGCAGGGGCAGCCAGATATCAGGCTTGATGGATCTATTTTGTTTTCTGCTTGGACTTTGAGATCCACCAACCAGAGCTGGATGCAAAACGATGGCACCAGGGGATGAGGGTTGGGCTTCTATATACTTAATATTAAGCACCTTTTCAACCCAAGGATTTGTGTTCAGGACCGGAATAGCTTTCACAGTCCTTTCACACACCAGTCAATCCCTGGTTCCCCATCTCCCCAAGTTTTTTATATTTCAGCAACCTGATTTTAGGAGCTGGGAAGTCTTTTTGAGAATGATGAACTCTTGCCGACCTACTGCAACTCACCCTGAGATCTACCAGCTGATGCTGAGTTACTTTCTGCCCATGCTTGCCCCAGTGCATGTTTACATCGGAGTTCATCAACACTGCAAATGCTGCCCCCTGATAGCTTTAAGCGCATTCCCAATATTGGTTCTTTGGCATTGCTTTGGTTTTGGCAAAGATCCTGACTTGTCCCACTAACACTGCATTTTAACCTTTTACTCCTAAAGGAGAAGGGCAGGATTTTTAATCGAGTGGCAATTCATCTCTAATTATGGAAAACGTAATTAGGTATTATCACCTAACTGCAATTACTTGTGGAGAAAGTCACATGTCCCTAAGCAGTGACCCATGCTACATTATCAGTCTGATGTTATGAATCGGCGTTTGTCTCTGGAAGCTAGCCAGCAAAATTAAAAGGGAATCAACATGCTTCTTTGAAGTCCAGCTGTTGAAGTCATTGCCTCTATGCATCCATAAATAAAAGCCGGGCTTTCATTGCCGTTGCTTATGAGGAACCCTTTCACAAATACATTGACCGTTGACATCAGGCCTGCGTTGTTGACAACACTCATCAAGTGAGGTTCCAAATTGTGGGTAGACCATGTAGACCACTACCCTCCAGATGTCGTGGACTCCAATTCCCATCACCCATAGTCAGCATGCCAGTGGCAAGGGAGGAATGGAATTGTAGTTCATATTATCTGGAGTGCACAGCATTGGCTAACCGCATTGGACGGTCTGTAGGATGTAGCAGATTCTCAACAGTTTCCCACACCAGTCTGCAAACAGAGGGATTCCTTTGCTGCCCCACAGAGTCTACTATCATCCAAGTCTTAGAAGGGGCAGAGGAGGATGTTCTGGAGTGAGACTTACCATGTTCAGCTAGTGGACGACACATTCTCTAGCCAAGTTCTATAAACCGAAGTGCCCTTTCAAAATAGTTGCAAAGGACAGCTTCAGTTCTCTTCCCCATGCTGGAGTCAGAAGGACCATTTTAAGTTTCAAGGCACCACCAAAGCAGCATTTTAAACCTGCAGGTTGTCATCTAGTACACTATTGCACTTTTGAAAGAAGCAATCTATAAAGGAATGTTTGATATAATACAATAGGCACAAGTCATTATAATACAAGTAGAAAACAAAGCCATAGAAAAAAAGCATGTTGAGCACCGTTGGGGTATAGGTTGTATCTCTTGTTCTTTAGACTACGTAAACTGTCACTTTACAAAAAAGTTAACAATGAAATCTGACCACAATTGCTTATTTCGCTCTTTCCAAAAGAGATGTTATTAGGTTAAAGAGTTATTCTTAGGTACGGGAGGCTCTCTTATCGGTTGCAGGGGGCTTGGCTGTTCACTTAAATGTGCGCTAAGGTTTTCTGATGTCAGGAGGGAAGAATTAAAGACGATCTCGCTCAAGTCTGACTTGATGGATATAAAATGTGGATCTTCACAGCTTAAGGGCTCCTCTGCTAAAACCTGGGTGTTCTCTCGCGTCATCGCCACATCGGATGGCGATTTCCTTTTCATGCGTGTGTACGATTTGTCAAGGTTTTCCATGCCTTGGTCGGTTTTCTGAAATCGCCCAAAGAACCAGATGAAGAAGCCAAACAGTGCGAAAGCCAGTAGACATGGAATGAAGGCCAGACATTTGACATCTAGGCTCGCACCAATGTACCGGCTATGCAGAAACATGTCACCTTCGGCGTAGGTCCTGTTGGTCAAAGGGTTAGTGTTGTTTGACCTCCATTCCCAAGACAGTTTGGTTCTGTTGAGGTCCTTCAAGCTTTCTGAGTCTTCTACTGTGTAAATCTTCTGCCCAGGACCAATATATTGACCATATTCATGGGGCTTGTAAAATATCTGATTCTTCCACATGTTCAGATCCAAGATCAAAACAAGGAATATGATTCCATAGTTAAACCACTTGCCTGTAGCAGAAAGAAAAATAAGGAAAGCATATGATGAGTCAATCTGCACCAGGACAGCGAAAGGTACAGGCAAAGTCACTCAGAAGACTATGAAGAGAGCATTTTCAGTTAATATGTACAGTGGTGCCCTGCAAGACGAAAAACCCACTAGACGAAAGGGTTTTCCGTTTTTCGATGCACATCGCAAGACGAATTTCCCTATGGGCTTGCTTCGCAAGACGAAAACGTCTTGCGAGTCTTGCAGTCTCTGCAATTTTTTTCGCTTCCCCCCTTTTTCTAAGCTGCTAAGCCGCCTATAAACCTTGTTTAGCGCTAGCCGCTAAGCCTTAATAGCCGCCTAAACCGCTAATAGCGCTAATCCGCTAGCGCTAATAGGGTTGCTCAAAGACGAAAAAACCGCTAGACGGAAGAGACTCCAGGGAATGGATTATTTTCGTTTGCGAGGCACCACTGTACAATGAGGTTTGAATTAAATACGGCAGTAGTAGAGTCAGAATTGGTGACCTGGAAAAAGTTTTACTGTTTCAGAATTTATGCCTTGTTTTATAATAAATCATTTGGGGAACGGAAACCCAGAAGTACAACAAATTGAATTCATCTGTAGCGTGACCCTGTGGGTTAAAATACTAGGAGATGCAGTCTAGATCAATAAACCTAAAGAGCAGCTGTTTCGGGACACAAAAATCCTTCCAGAAAAATAAAGGCCACATCTAAAGGACCATCTGCAGTTTACTAAAGTGTCACTAAGGACTGATCACTCATTTGTTCAGAATTAGTGCTACTGCTACAGTGGTGACTGCTAGATTCTATGTAACTCACTTCAAGGAGGGCAGAAGGCGGAAGCCTCAGGCATTTATGCAGCAGAAAATTCCAGTAGTCAAGCATTCAAGGCTAGAGATTTGTAGCAACTAGTCTATGTTATGCTTGCCTAACACTACTGCTGTATCTGATGCTTCCTTCTTATTAGGTAACAACAACAACAACAATTCTTTCCTGCCCTTAATGATCAGGTCCTGGGAAGGCTACAGCAATTTAAAAATACAATATTAAAAATTGTTTACAAGATATTATGATCAAGAGAAGAGGATGAGTCTTGAAAATCTTTTTTAAAAATCTAGTTTAATGAAGTTATGTAAGAGAGAGGGACAGAGAGAGGGGGGATGGGTCCTACAATATATACCAATGGGTTATTGCAAAGAGGTGCATCTTCAATATACAGAAGAAACGCTATAATAAAGGTGCCAAGCACACCTGTTTGTGGAAGGAGTGCCACAATTTAAGAGCTGACACAGAAATGCTTTCTCCTGGGCCACCACCCACAAATTCTGAGCATGGTGGAACTACCAAGAAGGACTGTGGGGAAAGATTCCTCGCCACCAGTGCCACATGGCAGGTGAGATAATCAGCGGCCGAGCTATCCGCTCTGGCTCCTAGAGTGTTGCACATGCCGCACACCTGGGGTGGGGTGATCTGCCCAGGGGACGGGGCAACTGGGCTTGGGGTGTGTGATCCGGCACGGCGGTGTTCATGTTGGGAGGGAGATCTGGTGTGCTGACGATTGTGCCGGGGTTGCCATCCGGCGTAGCAGCGTTTGTGCCGGGGGGTGAGATCCAGCACAGCGGTGATTGCACCAGGAGGTGCCATCAGGCGCGACCGTGATCATGCCAGGGGTGCCATCTGGTGCGGCGGCGATTGTGTCCGGGGGGATTTTGTCACCCCCCCTCAGGGATGACACACGGGGCAGCGTGCCCCCACCGCCCCCCTTCCTACACCCTTGGTGATAATCTGGCTTCACCACGTTTGGTTAGATTTAGACTGAGATTTACCCCACCAGCACTAGTCACTGACACATTACATTGCATATAGGTCATTAGACTACCAATGTGACCTACATACTGCATAGCAACCATGAAGGAGAAGAAGGAACAATTGCGTCCATGGCTCTGCTCATCTCATCATTCCACCAGGTGAGGAGAGCCCTGACAGGAACATGAGACATATCTTTAAGGAGCAGGGGAAAAGGTTAGAGAAGAAATTTTAAGAACCCTCTATTTGTCTTCTCTGAACTTACAAATTGGACAGTATTGCCAAAACTTAGTGTTACAGTTTCCTGATCAAATCTCTCTGACTGCTCTTGCCCTCCTTGAAATAATTGTGTTCTTCAGCTGGGCAGCCTTCACATATGAAGCAAAGAGCTTCTTTGTTGCTTACTATGTCACCACAAAAACTCCCTCTTTACTCCCCAAAGGTGGCAACCACACAATCACAGAGCTTGATCTCCAGCTACGAAGGAAACGACCTCCTCATAAATGTGTTCAATTAGCTGCCCCTCAGGTGCTCCAAACTGCTGAATCTATGTGAACTGCTGTCTGGATGCTCACTGGTCAGATGTCCTGGGAATTGCCAGAACATGTGAACACACAAATTGCTCTGCCTTTATCCCTCTGTCCTACAACGAGCCATCCATCTCTCCTAATAATAGCCAGCTTCCATGGATCTATCACTTCTATCTTATGAGGGTTCTCTCCTCCCACCTGGTCAGCATAAACCCTGTGTGGCTGCATTTCAGGAGGAATTTTTTCCGGGTGTCAAAGCCATTTAGGCCTTCTGTTTCCCATTCCCGGAATGGAGCAAAAAGAGCAAATTAAGGACCAGCTCTTTGTCTGTGTGGATTTCCAGTAGCTAACGTTTCAAAATGCTGCTGTTTGTTGAGTCCTCTCATCTCAGTTACAGCCATCGCAAGGAGCATCAAATGCTTCTGTCTGTATCTCCAGAAAGCACTTTGCTGCTATTGAGTGCCTTGCGAGGATGTTTGCAGACACACATACTGTACACAGATGAACAAAACAGGAATCCCTCAGAGACCTTCTGGAACAACCGCTCTGCTTGGATTGCTTCGCTTTGACCTCTGACCTTTCTATTTTTGCCCACAGGGTCCCCGAGGCATCTCTGTGTCTGGAGTGCCTGCAGTCAGTCCAGACACGCATCCTCCGCCTTCGCTGTAACCACCAGCCTCCCTATTCTGATGACAACCAGCAGCGAGATTCTTTCGGAGTCTGGCAGATACAACTTGGTTGCTTAAAACACTGGGTTTCCTTTGCTGACCTTTATTTCTAAATCTGTGGGCATTTTCTAGCATGGTACATATTGATCTCCAGCATATCTATTTCAGTTGGAATGACTGTAAGCGTATTGTCAATCTTTATACCATAAGGGAAACTCAGAAGCTGTCTTATACCAGCCCAGATTATTCATCCACCGAGCCCCCTCTTCTCTCTTTCAGGGGTAGCTAATGTAGAAACTCTCCATTGTTCCTGATGATTGGCCGTGCTGGCTGGGGCTGCTGGAAACTGGAATCCAACAACTTCTGGAGGGTGTGGTTTTGACTATATTGGACTTGGATCTGCAGCCCACAGTCTCAGGCAGCAAATACCTTTCCTATCGATTGCTACAAATTCTTTCTTAACTGTACATGCCTGTCAGGCTTCAGGGAATCAGCTTCCTTCCTCGTGGATGTAGATAAGCAAAATAAAGGAAAAGGAGTCTTCTTACCAGTTAGAAACTTTAATAATCACAGAGAGAGAACAAAGGACCCATTTCCTAGGAATGGCAGTGCTTCCAATTAAGGATCCTTCCCCCTTACATCCCTATTAATCTACATCACTTCTACGTCTTGTGATCTGAGTATGTACTGTGGGGAGAATCAGAACTTACAGGGTTAAACAGTTCTGAGTGACGTCTCACATTCTGAGGCGTGGCTATGTTCACAAAGGGGAGTGTTTCTCTGTGTGTCTTTCTTCTTTCGCTTTTGCCGAGAAGCGGAGAGCATGTCTGGTTTTTCGCCGGGCTGAATTTACGATGTTATTCTACGCATTAAAGGCTATTGGAGATAAGCAAAAAGCCTGCTTTGCAGTCTGAGTTATTACCCACACAAGCAACAGCTTTCCCCGCTGTGTAAACTCTGCTAAAGGGCCAAAGAGGCTGGAAGAGGTTTGTACCGGCACGGACAGCAGTGGCGCAGCTAAGAAGAGTGCTGGACGCCATCTTGGCCCCATATGTACCCTCTGTGCTTTGTGTGCTTTCTGTTCTGCCACTTTCTCAGCTCTTCTTGACCTTGGGGAGAGTGGAGCAATGCTTTCCAGAGACAGTGAATTTGTTCACCCTCTCTCTCTCTTAGTGTTTCATCTTCTAGCTGTTCCCCATCCAGTATTTCCCAGCTTCTACCTTCTGAACTATGTCCCTCTGCAAACCACTGTTCCAAATCTATACCGTCCTCCTGCTCCTGGGAAGATTCAGGATACGGATATGGAGCAGGGGGAGGTTCCCACCATTCCTTCTCAGTGCGGCCCTCCTCAGCATGGACTCTGACAATGCCAGGGTTTTAACCTGGGACTTTCTACATGCAATGTATTTTCCTGGACGGTTCATCCCACTTTGCCGCTTGAAGCAAAATGGAAAGTGCCACTCTGCCCTGTTGCTGCTGCCACCAGCACCAGCACCAGCACCACCATAACTGGCCCTGCCACTGTCACATGTACCACCCACTGCCACATCTGCACTGGCAGAGAAGCGATTCTGGCACTGGTGCTGATTTAAGGTAAGCTCTCGGCTGAAATCATGCAAGATCTTGTGCACTCAGCAAGTTCTCATGTGATTTTGGTGAGATCTTGGCCAAAATCATGGAGATGCTCATTAAAGAGACTGAAATAACATCCCCTTGCTCGATATTGCAAGTGTTTATATATTTGAATCTGAATTACCTGGACCTTTATAGATCCAAACTATGCATCCAGTGTGGCTGGATAATAAATAGACTTTTTTTAAATAAAGGAACTAGTCTAGCCCCTGAATCTATTTTAACAAGGAGAGTGGATAACCAAACTCACTTCTAAGTCCTACAAATCTCCCAGGGTACCATGGAAACTAGGCTATGCTGTGTATTTACATAAACTGCTGCCTAGGAAAGAAAGCACATGCGTTTGCAATGAGCCATCTGTCAA